TTAAAAAGAAAGTAGGATACAGATAGATTGTGTGGGAGAACCCAAACATGACACTCTGCCCACACGATAACCACCATATGCAAATGGTTCCACAAAGAGAAAATACAAAAAAATACATGAGAGACCTAAAGAAAAGAAAAATAAAAAAGTGACAAAATCCGGATTATTAAGTAACTAAAGAGCGACCCAATTTTGCCTTGCCTCTGCCTCTGCCACTAGTTCTAGGAAAGGAGCCAACTAATAAATTGGTGAGATGAGTGTCATTATGAGTGTCATTACCAGTAGTAACCAATGTATCATCCACTAAATTCCCGAGCTCGAGTCTTCGTCCATTCTTACCATTCCTCATTTGAAGATTGACTCGTCTGATCAGTGAATTGGTATAAAGTGTGTCGGACACGTGTAGGTTGTTGAACATTAGAAGCAACTACTTGTTGTACAAGCTGATCTTTTATCGGATCAGGGGAGCGGGAGCACTCTCGTGTGTCTTGGCATGCAAGTGGGCTTTCTTCTATAGCAGTGGATGGTATAAACACATTTGGATCTGTACCTGTAGTATGTTGTTCTTCATCAGGAACTTCGGTGTTGGCAAGGGGGGATCGTTAGACAAATCAGACACCAAATCCTGACTTGTGGGAACTTCCTCCACAAATTGAGCAGATATGTCCATAGCAATGGGGTTAGACCCCCCTTGTTTACTTGAGCTTTAACTTTCAAATTTGGATGAATCCTGTACATTTATCAAGTGTATGTCCAAACATCTACAAACATCTTGACAATTGGTTGCCAATATCCGTTGTGAGTTGTGCCCAGCCAGACTTCAGCAATATCAAATAAAGTAATATCTCTTTCCACAATTATTCTGGCCACAACAAAGTAATATCTCTTTCCACAATTATTCTGGCCACAGAAAGCCTGGTTAGGTTAAAGATGGGTATTTCTAGCTTCATAAGATCTCCAAGAATAACTTTAATAGAATAATAAACTTGATGATTAAAGAAATGCAACTTGAGACCAAGTAAACTAATTCAGAGGAGACTCATGATTTGAGTCAAAATCAGGAGACAACTTGAGTAACTTCATTGACTTGCCTGTAATGTTGGGATATTTTTTTAGAGAAAATTCGAGCATAGTCTTCAGCTAGGGTTAACTGAATCAACACATGTCTCCCATCCAAAATTCTCACTTTCCACTTGCCTACAAGTTTGAGATCGCCAACACTTTTTCTGATAACTTACATAAGTGAGTGCCCCCATTGAAATTTCTTAATAAGAGCGAACTTGAATTTCTCAATTACGGTTGAAATTTCTGAATCAGAGAAAAATAGTGTTGCTTTCTCACTCTTCCTATTTATCTTCTTAAGAAAAATGCAATCACTCGTACCATCACGACATTCCTTATAGCTTGAGGGGAAGACAATAGTAGATTCCGCAGCAATAGTAGATTCCGCAAGTTAATTACCCACCACGTGGGCGAAAGAAGCTTTGCCAGGATCAACCGAAGAAGGAAGCGCTATAACAACGACCCTTCAGCCCACAGATGCAAAAGCCAAAATACCCAGAAGGTCCGATCCGATGGAGTGCGACTAGAAGAAGCGCGTCGGGTCGACGAACCCGAGGAAGTGCAGGCGCGTACTGGTCGACACAGCAGAACGTGAACAGTGAGCACAGGCGCAGCTCGATCAGCCCTACAGGAGCACGATCGACCGTCGGGTCGACGAACCCGAGGAAGTGCAGGCGCGTGCGCAGCTCGATCAGCCCTACAGGAGCACGATCGACCCTACAGCGAGCAGGCGCAACACGTTCGGCCCTACAGCAAGCAACGAGCACAGGCGCAACTCGACGAAGCAAACGACGGAACAGAGGAGCGTACTCCCCTTCTATGATTGTGAAATTACAGGTAGCAGAGGCTAGGGTTTCGCCATGAGGGGAAACCCTAGCAGAGCCTCGAAGAAGCAGATGACATTTTAGAAGTTTATGAATATAATCTATGCGAGTGGCAAGACACCATAACCTTAAATTTCATGTTTTACATAATGTAAAAAATATCAAATTGAATATGTAAATAAATATTTTACAATATAATAAATTACAACTACTATGACAAAACAAAAAGTTTGAAGGACCTAATAGCCAGTCAACACATCCAGATAAAGCAATTGAAAAGCTTGAAAATATTGAACCTATTAAAGTTAGTAGACTTAAGAGTTGAAAATAAGTTAGTAAAGACATATCATAGTCATTATGTCAAAAAATATGATGCACCATATACCTAATCACAAAACTCAGTGTATTTTTCCTACAATATAATTAAAATATTACAATTACTTAATTCTTAAAATAAAATATACCGTATAATTAACCTAAAATTTTAAAATTCATAGAAATTAATCTAAACAGAGAAAAATCAAGAAACTTAAAACACTTAATCCCTAAAATAGGGAGAATTTTAAAACATTGAAATTATAATAATTTAATAATTAAAATTCAATAAATAAGATAAATCTAAATTAAATCATAACTAATTCAAATGGATCCCAAATGATGTGAACTTTTTATAGGAGTATTGGCACCCCTTCCTAACTTGCTCAATACTTTTTCATAATTTATAAAATCAATTTGAATTTTAAATAATTTTTAGAATGAAAATAATCATAAAATCCTAAAAAATTCAAATGAAGTCAAAATGCCCAAAATTTTCATGGCCAATTTATCTGATAGTCTTCGAGTTCATAGAATTACCTCATGAATCTTTTATGATATTTTGCGTATTATTTTGAATTTTTATTTTCAAAATAAAATGATAAATCATAATCAAACTAATTAAAGTTTTCAAAAATTCTACAACTTAATCTTAATGGTTTCTTAATTCCTTGAAGGTTTCATATCAATCCTAACCAAAAAAACTAATTGGGTGTTCCACCCACTTAATCAAAAAGAAAATCATTAAAAGTAAAATTCAAATTTAATCAAGAGTTTAACTTAACATTTTCCAAGATCTTATGTCCTAATGCAAACCACCCAACCTTAGAACTCATCTCAATAGCCCTTATGTTTCCTTCACTAACTCATAAGGTAGTTTAGGTGTAGGGCTGTGGGCTGGTCAAGCCCAAGCCTAATTACAAACTAAACCAAATCAAACTTAAACCTAATTCAAATTGAAATTCAATCTAAAAGTTAAAACTTAAACCAACCAAATTAAAACTTAAAACCAAATCAAAATTAAACTAAAATATTCAAATCACTCTAGTCATCTTTAGGATAATGTCTTGCCCTTATCGGTAGGTTGTTCACTCTAGTAGAACCAAAGTGCTATGAACAGGTCAACAATAGGAGATTCTTTAGATCCAAAATACCATGAATAGATCACCCCTTCTCGGTGGGTCCAGCTAGTCATAAAAATCTTGAGAACTTAAGTCTAAAACTCAAATTTAACTGAAACATAAAACCTGAAATTTAACTTATTCGTTCATCAATTGGAATGAAACCACCCTCTTGTAAAATGTATTTCAAATCAAAAGTAAAAAACTTAAAACCTAAAGAAAAGAATAGTCATATCACACTAGATGCACACACATTAGATTAATTGTTATTCCACCAACATAGATTCAAGTTAAGACAATGACAGTTGATTGTGATTGATTGTTTTGATGTGTTGATTGCCCGTTTTAATGAATGTTAGGACATTTGCTTGTGCGTAGACTGAATGTTAGGGCAACTAGTTTCAACAGTTTAATACTTATTTTCTGCAGGAGGTCGTGTTTAGTGGAGAAAACTATTCAAATTAATTAAACTAACATATTTTATTGCAGGTGCTAGCTGACTCATGCTTATGCCCCAAAACAAGGTCTATTCGAGTAGAGGGCTAGCACCTGCTAGTGTTAAACCCACAATATTTGGTATGCTTATTTTGATTGTGCGAGTGCCTTTTCTACTAATCCTTATTTAGTAGGTTTATTTAGGTTTTCCTTTGAGAATTTCAATATAGTTTGTAGTATGAATATATTTAGGGCCTATGAATATATGACGAGCAAGAATGAACCACACCCAGTTGGTGATGCCTCATGAAGACTGGAGAACTCGTACAAAAAAATAATGAAAGGGATGAACTAATAATACAAATTGAAAACAGAACATGAGAAAACCTACAGGCCGACCCTTTGTTTTACGAACGGTTTGTATAAGGGCAAAGCTCATCAAATCTCCTTTTCTTATCTTTGCCTACGATCATGCAATTTTGGTCGGCTTCCCTAGTTGAACTACTGGAAGAGATAGTGAATTGTACCTTAGGTTCTGCTAGGGAACTTTATCATATGGAAATCTAGTCGAGGCATTGGGGTAGAAGCCGTTTGTCCCCTTGACCATATGTGATAGTGATAGGAAATCATGCCACCAGATCTCACCTAAAGTTTCAAGATTTTTGACTGTGCTTACAAGCCTGTTGCACACTCTTCTTCTGCTTAGTGCACACAGACTATGCTTGGCTCTTTATTACAGAGGCCCATTGCTCACAAGAATGTTTAATAAAAGAGGCATTACATGCAATAGCACATGATTCTTATGTGTTTACATCGCTCACATCTAATATTTTATATTTACACACAGCACTCAAATCTTTACTATCATATCAAAAATATCAATATTATCATTTTTTTAAATGAAATATCCCTTTTTATGCATAGATTTAAAGCATCAAAGTGCTACGTATGTGAATATGAAAGTTTAGGTGTGAGATATGTATATACATAAGAATTGTGTGGTAAGTATGCAAATTCTCCTCAATATAAATAACACATAATCATGCAATATTTGAACTTCCTAAACAATGAAAATTGAAATATATTCTGCAATAAAAACAAAAAAACAGAACTAAACCACATTTTAATGCAGGCTATCAGTTCAATTTATCAGTCAACAATTGTATAGTTCACATCCAATGTCATTTCGCTTCTTTTGTTCATAATGTTATTTGAATAATCAGATTAGAATGTAACAGCTTACCTCTGCAGACTCAGCAGTCCCGTCTCCGTCTACATATGAGTATTCAGGCTAAAAAAACAGGAGCTCACTTTACACATGGAAAGGTGAATGGGACAACTAGGATTACAAACTGAAACAAGAGAATCAACCTTTGAGAAACGTACCATCGTATGACATATCTCTGGCAGGTCAACGATAGGAGATTCTTCAGATCCATAGCTGTAACAAAAATGGACAGGCACATCATGCTTTTATTTTAAAATGGTAAACCAATTCTAAAGATGCTTAATGATATGCAAATAATTGGCTTAAGATGATTTGCTGCATATCAGCCCGAAAACGGAAGGAAATTAGTATAAAAACATTCAAGGAAACAAAAGAGGTGTCCCCTTGGTGATTTTTAATAGGATCGAAATGATAAAATAATAGATAAAATTTCATCAAGAACATTTTGTGGACTTATATTGCACCAAATCAATACACATAATCATAAAGTATTCTGTTGTTCAAGAGATGCTAGAGGAATCCGGAAGCAAGTCAGAGGAAAGGCATTGAAAGGAAATTAATATTCTTCAATGGTCGAATAACATGAAATGAACATATAAACACGACAAAAAAACAACTAACCTTTTCTTCTAAAATAGAACATAAAATTGGCAATGCTTGCTTTGTTTTGAAACTGAATTATTAAACCAATTCTAATCAATAAGTGAAAAATGGCCGGATATGCAAATTTTAAAATTGTCATTAAAAAAAAAAAACATATATATTAAAAATTGACAAGATGTACAATGGTTCTTTTTTACTTCAATATGCAAAGTGAAATGATCCCAACTTAGTGGGGTAAAGGCTTTTCTTGTATGCAAAGTGAAATAATGCTTATATTAGCTAGAGCATTCACTATTTGTACATGACATATCATATATGCATTCAATAATGATAAACTTTCATCTATCCAAAAGCAACAAAAAGGAATCAAATATAAAAAAGTGATAAAAGAATATATAAAAATTAAGAATAATTGTGAGATTTAAGTGATAGGATATAGAGACCAAGATGAGGGAGCAACGTGAGATGAGATTGTGTGAAGATGAAATATAAAAACCATTCTCGAAAAGATGCTTATGAATGACAAGTTAACAGCACCAGCAAATGGAAAAGTGCCAAGCTCTAATTAGAAAGAATGAAGAACCAATGAGCAACGACTTAATCACTACAAATGTAATGAAAGGGCATGTGACTGGTTTCCTTGGGTGGCTAATGAGTATAACTATATTCCTCGTGTAAGAATATGTTAAGAATAAAATCTACTTTTATAAATTAGTATACAAATACAGTAGCAAGAACATGGTTAAGTTAAATGTAAAGTGTTCAGGTACGACATCTGTGATTTGCGTTGCCTAGAAAGCTATTCCAACAAAACTCTAGCAAAGAATTACGGAACCAACAAATAAATCCAAAAAAAAGAATTGCATAAAAGCCAGTGGCAGTGCATATTTTAGGCTATTGTTAAATTAAAAAGCAATTGATATTAACAAAAGCATCTACTCTACAATCTTGAACATTAATAGCACTGTCAGATAAAAAAGAGATGCATCATATGATAAAAAAGGTGATAGCCTGCATAGGTGTTTAACATACCAAACAGTGTGTGGAGTGTCATAAGATATTCCATATATATTATAGAAGTCGACACTGTCTGGTAATTTTGCATTGTCAAGCATTTGCCTGGTACCAGCCGCCCACTTAAGGATTGAAAGATTGAAAGGAAGAGCAACCGATTTTCCATTATACGTAAGCTATCAAAAAAAAATTAAGACCAATAAGATATCATTCATATCATTCATTAGAGACCAAAAAGAAAAAAAAAAGAATACAATTAATAAAAATAATGAAGAGAGAGGTAAGTGCGAATAATTAAGCCTAAACACAAGAATTTAAAAAAAAAGTATGTTTAAGCTGAAGAATGTGCTCAGAATCTATTTATTAACCGACCCCAAAATGGAATACAGATCAAAGGGGAGAACATGGAAATCCATCAAGATGCTTTCCAATTCTGAAAATATAACTTCTCATCAACAGCAATTACATATCTGCGTCTAGCTAGAGTCAATGCTCATGCTTGATAATGAAGTTGCAAGACACTAACAAAGAGTGATATCTACTTCAGTCAAGTCAATTGAGAAAACCGATGTAATAACCAACTTTTGAGAAATCGGAGAAAATTTTTTGACGACTTACATTGTACTCCAATTTCCACATCCTTTGGATTTCAATCGAAACAATTTTATAAAATTTTACACAAAAAATCAATTATTTCCTTATAAAGCATTATATGTTAATTATGAATAGATTGGGAGAAATAAAAATTGGAGTTATAAGTTTAATTAACCTAATTAAATATAATAAAATTTTTAATCTTGCATGGTTAGTGTTCACAACGGACTCACGTATTTTATTTCCTCTGTACGGTCGTATAGGGCACAAAAGCTTCGCATTCTTTCCTACCCCTCCCAATCTTCCTGTACTTGGCTCTTGGGTTCGCTCGGCAGAAGCCTCATGTAAGGAGCGATTGCAGCAAGCCCACAGATGGGAGTGACACTTGGTAAGCTGCGACCTACTCCCCTTTTATTCTCCTCTTTTCCTCGATCTTTCTCCCTATTCCTTTCTTGCAGAGGCCACAACTTAAGATTTAGAGCTTCGGGACAAATTCTATAAGAGTGAATCTCTATTTCATGCTATTTGATACATGCTTTTCCTTCCTCGAACTTTCATTTTGAGTTTTGCCTCATTTTCCATGCGCTTTTTCCTTTCGAGTAGCCGTCGAAGGCGTCAATTGTGTGTCAAAAGCGTTTGACGCCTTTTACGAGCCTCCAAAAAGGTTCTAGCACAATATCAGCGTAGGAAAAGTGTGGTTGGAGGTGTTAGAAAGTAAATTTGGCAGGTTTGAAAAAGGATTGTTCGCCGAGAAAGCCGTTTAAGGTAAGTTTGGAAAATCAATGATCTTTTAAGCTAAATTACCTAATGAATGATATAATTAATTTGTTTAAGATTTCAGTTTGGTTATGTGAGATGACGAGTTTGAGTGAAGCATAATTGTCGTAAGTCGACTCTGTTAAAATTATGGTAAAGTAATCCTAAGCTAACAAAATTAATTTGATTAATAGAAATTGTTTAAATTTTAAAAATTTAAATATTATGTTTTATAGTTTAATGAGCTCAATAGAAATGCCACCGTAATCTCCAACTAACTGTAGAAGATTAAGAGTTTAGCGTGACAACTGAGGATAGTGATTTCATTTCTAAATTTCAGTAATATTCTATTTCAGATTGTATGTTTGACTCCATGTATGCTCTAATTTAATCAGATTCTTCATATTATTAAATAGGAAAGAAATGTATGATAAGCATAAAAGGAAAATGTGTGCATGCATGAAAAAAATACATGAGAAGAATGATATTTAGGTAAACATTATATGTAAGATAGACACGTAAAATAAACATGTCAAAAAGATATGCATAATATACATAAAAGATATACATGAGATAGATAGAAGATATCTGCGTGAGATAGATATATAAATGATATGAAAGATATGTTTGATGAATAGTTGTACAACCAAATAAATATGTATATTAGTAGATGCAAAAAGACATTTCATAACAATATATGTATGAAGAATGAAATAGTTTATATGCTCATGCTTGCATGCTCATGCTCAAAAAATAATTTCAGCCTCTAATGATACAGGCAGAGGACACCAGTGTACTAGCGCGAGTAGAGTTTTTCTACCACCCAAACAATTATGATATTTCACTAACTGTTATGCCGACAGGTTAATATCGGTCAGGGATGAGTACACAAGAGTTTACCTTCTCAGATAATTTTGATGTTTACATTGCTAATCATTGTGCCAACAGGATAAAATTAGCCACGGGCCACCCTAGACAATTGGGATGTGTAGATCGCAAACTGTTGTGCCTACAGAAGCAGACAGAGCAATATCAATAAAGGGTATGTCAGGTTTGTTGACACTGATCCTCACAGAGACATGTGTATTAAAATATAAAACAAAAGTAAAGTTAAAGAAAATAATTATAGAAGATTGAATATTTTTATTTAAAAAGAATCATTGATGCATGCAATAGCATATATCAAATTGCTTATAAATATATATATCAAATTACTTATAAAATATGAAAGACTAGAATATTAGTTAAAATTTCTTATAGACGCAAGCATATTGAATTAGTTTCTTTATACTACAGTAGTTTAGAAGTGTAATTACTCCAACGTTATCTTTCGATAACTCTTTATATTACTTTAATATTATTTTTAGGTTTTAAACATTTGAACAAGATGAATAGGAGCAAATATGTATAGAAGACGAAAACAACAGACGAAGTATAAATTTTTACTTACTAATTTTTATTATTTTCTTTAGTTCACTCTTTCATGTATTATTTGAAATTAAATTGTTAGTAAATGAATTAGAATATCAGAGAATCTATTCCACCGTTCAACCGTCCATTCTAGTCTCGAATAACTCTAAGCCACAGGTTAGGTTGTGACAAAAGTGGTATCAAAGCTAATAGGATAAATGGATTTAGTTATAAATCATAAAACTTAAAAAATTTTGATTAAGTCTGATTAACTTATATGGTTGTTATTTCAGAAATATGGTTAATCCGGAGAAAGATGTTAGATATGAGAATGTAGAAATTATTGTACTTCAGAATGTCACATTCAATGCTGGTACATTCTCTGATATGATGAAGGTTGACTCGGGTGATTAAAAATTCTCAATCTCAAGCTAATACTAGTGGATGAGCACCAATGGATAAAACTCTTTCAAGATATGAGAGCACCTTTGTTTTATGAAACAGGAGGGCCAGTGAAATTGAAAATTGGCTATTGAGAGTGTAGAAAATCATAGATGGCAGGCATGTCTTGTCCACCAGAGAGGATAGTTACCCTCGACACTTATGCTTTTGAAGAAAAAGCTGAAAGATTGTGGCAAGTTCAGATGCATGAGAAGTTCGAAGGTAGAACCGACCACTTTGTGCAGTGGGACAAGTTTGTGAAAACCTTCAGAGATTGATTTGTACCACTGTCGGCTAGAAGACAGATGCAAGAAAAAATTATTAGAATGGTGTAAGGAGATCGATCAATTATGTAGTATGAAGCAGAGCTTACTATGTTGTTAAGGTATGAACCCCTATTGATTCCTAATGTAGAGAAGTAATGTCACAGATTTCTTTCTGGACTGAATGATTCAATCAGGCAGGCACTAGTGCCACTCGGGATTGAAGACTTTTCAATACTAGTGGATAGAGCTCGGCCGGTGGAGATTGATTTCCAGTAGACTCAAAAGTGTAGAGATATGCATAAGAGGAAGAGTTAAGAAGAAGTGACAACAACAGTTCATTCAAAAGGAGAGTCTAATGAGAAAAGGATGATGTCCCATACTGATGAAATTATTTGCCAAGTTGGCAGTAGCACTATACAAACTTGTGTTAAGTGTGGGAAGCAGTATCGTGATGAATGTTTACTTGGGTTGAAGGAGTGTTACTTATGGAAACATCCTGAAAATCAGAGGAGAAATTGCCCTAATGTTGTTCAAAGATTTGTATTAGATATTCATTCAGGAAGGGATCCAACTCAGAAAAATTTTTAGGATGGAACTATTTTGAGAAGTGGTCAACAGAGGATGACAAAAGCTAAAACTGTGGCTCATATGGAGCAACTAAGGCAAAACATTTATTCAAGAGTTTATTCCTTCACTTCTTAGGAATCAGAAGAGTTTGTTGCAACTGACGCTGATACATAATTTGATAGATGAATTGTCTTTTGGGTGTTATGTTGGATTTATTAGATTTATAGTTTATCACAAATCTTTTACTTATCACTTGACAAGAAACAAATTTTTGTACTTTTGTTTGAAGTTCATAAATTTCGATGACGAAATTTTATGAGGGAAGATTGTAATAATAAATTTTGATAAATTGGAGAAAAGACTTTGGCGATTTAAATTGAATCCATTTTTTGCATCCCTCGGGTTTCAATCGAAACAAATTTATAAAATTCTATAGGAAAAATCGATTAATTCCATATGAAGTATCATATGTTAATAATGAATAGATTGGGAGAAATAAAAAATAGAAAATAGAAATTTAATTAACCATATTAAACATAATTAAATTTTTAATCTTGCACAGGGCTCAAAAGCTTTGCATTCCCCCCCAGGCGAAAGCTCCAATGAGGAGCTGCGATCGCAGCAAGCCTGCAGACGCAAGCAACACTTGGTAAGACACGGCCTACTCCCCACTCCCTATTTCTTCTCCTATCTTCCCAAGTCTTTCTCCCTGTTCCTTTCTCGCGGGAAGAAAGAGGCGGGTGGAGCTGCGACAATTGCTGCAGTGCAACGCGATCAAGCGAATCATACTACGCCTAGGATGGCCGCAACATAGGATTTAGAGTTCCAAGACAAATTTTGTAAGTGTGAATCCCTATTACATGCTAGTTTAGATATTCCTTCCTTGCACTTTCATTTTGAGTTGTCTCGTTTTCTATGCGTTTTTCCTTTTTGGTAGCCGTCAAAGGAGCCGATTGTTTGCCAAAAGCGTCAAACATCTTTTGTGAGCTTCCAAAAGGGTTCTAGCACAATATTAGCATATCAGAAGTGTGGTTGGATGTGCTAGAAATTAAATTTGACAGTTTTGGGAAAGGATTTATCGCCGAGAAAGCCGTTTAAGGTAAGTTATGGCAAATCAATGAACTTCTAAGATAAATTACCTG